TAAGAAGAGAACTGTTCCCAAATGTTGTCCTTCGGGGGGCTGAGTGCGGCAGAAAGCGGATGCTTGGCCTCTGTGAGGCGGTTACGACATTGGCGTCGACGCCACCCTGGGCGGCCCCAGGGCGGCCCTAGGGCAGCCGACAGGGTCGACAGTGCAAAGACCGCCTTCAAGACCTCGCCGAACCCCCTTTGGTCCAGCCGACAGCGCTTGCCCGCCTGTCCGGGAGCAGACCGCAGTGGTCAGCAGCTGCCTGGGTGTGGGCGGGGGGAGGGGCGAGGAGGGAGGCTGCTGACAGTAGCCGCCCAGACCGAGAACTGGCCTGGTCCGAGCTGGATCAGATGGGCCGCTTGTAGCAGCATGCCGCCGATGGCAACTCCTTGAGGCTCAGCATCCGCCTCAACCCGGTAAAATCATTGTGATATGGCCTTATGTGTTCTCTATCATTGTGCAGATTTCTAATTTATTTCATTTTACAGGAACTTTTAAAACTATGTATTTTTTAAATACTAATTGTACTTCACATTCTCTTGATATGGCTTTTGAACTGGGAACCCCTTACTGGTAATACATTTTAATCCAATGGCCAATGGTTTATTTCTGTCATCGAACGTACTCTCACTTTCATTTTATTTTGCAGATACTTTTGATTCAGAATATCTGGCTTTCTCCTTGGTGTTTGAAGTGTTACTCCAATGTCGAACCATAGGTAAGACTTAATACACTAGTCTCATGGTTTTCCATTATCATACAGAATTCTAATATCTATTTCCTTTTCTCCAGGAGCCTTCAATGTTGATAACTTTTTAATACACATGAGCAAAAATGTTTCAATGTTTTTATTGTCCATGGACAACTGCTTCATTCAAAGAATATGTGTCACATCGTGCTCATCACCGCCACATAAATGTACACAGGTATCATTGTGGCCTGCGACAGTGTTATTCTGCTTTAAGCAGTGAGAGGTTGCTGAGACTTCATATTATCAGAAAGCACAATTTAAAAGTAAGCAAGCTACATATCCAAGCTTCTGAAACTATTGGTGCTACAAATGCCTTTGGGAAATATATTTGTACTGTGACAACTTGCAAAAAAGAACATGACAAATATCGTGATTTTATTAAACATTTGAAGAGCCACATGACCAAGAAACAGGTAGTAAAGTGCCCTTTTGCTGAGTGTCCAGCAGTTTATCGTAATGTGAAATCATTTACTGCTCATTTGTCAAGAAATCATAGAGGCGTGTGTTTAGCCCCAAGTCAGAACACGCCATTGTTGGCCAATTCAAATGAAGATGAAGAGGTGGTCTCTCAAGATGATATTCAGAATGACAACGATGTGGACTTATTATTTTTAAATGACTTAAGTGAGAGGACTTCCAACATCCCTAGTACATCCATATCTGAAAGTGACTTGATCCTCCATAATTTGGCTCAATTTTGTATGCGACTGGAATACCACTACTTAGTGCCTGAAACAGTAGTTCAATATTCTGTGACAGAAATGTTTAAAGTTCATGCTCAAGGGCAGGCTTTTTTAAGAGAAGAACTAACTAAAAATATGAGAAATGAAAAGATATCAGAAGAAAAGATGAAGTCTATACTAGACAATTCATTTGCAAGAGATCCCTTTAAAATGAATTTTGATTCAAACTTATCTTCTACTTATAGAAGAAAAGAATATTTTAAGAAGATGTTTACTTTTGTAAAGCCAGAGAAGGTGGAATTTTTTAAACCCGTGAAGAACTCTTGTGGGAACATTGTTAATGTTAAGAAGTTTTTTTATTATGTTCCAGTACCTGATACACTTGAGGCATGCTTGAAAGACAAGTCTCTTAACATAAAACTTGTTCCTCCTACTTTTAGCAAAGATGGATTTTTAGTTGATGTCACTGATGGGGAAGTATTTAAAAATAACAAATTCTTTCAAGAGAATCCTACAGCATTTTGCTTAGCTTTGTATCAAGATGGAGTAGAAATAGTTAATGCCATTGGACCAGCCAAGAGGAAACATAAATTACTGGCTATTTACTTAGCAATTTTAAATCTTCCTGAACACCTCCGCTCTCATATTAATTCTATTAAGCTTGTAGCTTTGTGCAGAGAAAAAGATTTTGTCCATGATGCAGTTTATGGGAGAATTGTTGAAGATTTGAAGAAGCTGGAAACAGTTGGAATTAATGTACCTGACCTTGGAAATGTGAAAGCTGGTCTGTTGTTTATCGCTGGTGATAATTTAGGCAGCCATGGACTTGGTGGGTTCCTCGAAAACTTTAGCAGATCTATATACTTCTGCCGCTACTGTATTATTGACAGACCTTCATTTAAAAGAGCTGGTGGTGAGAGTCGAGTGTTCACAGCACGTACACCTGCAATGTACAATGAAGCTGTGCGAAAGGGTCAGGGTAAAAAATCTGGCTATCAAGGTGTCAAGTTCAACTCTGTCTTCAACTCCCTCCAGAGCTTTCACTGCTGTTCCCCTGGCCTACCCGGATGTTTCGGACATGACCTAATGGAGGGCATTTGTGCTTTTGATTTGAAACTCTACATTGACCATTTCATCGCCGAGGAGTGGTTCACTCTTTGTGAACTTAATGAAGCAATCAACTCATTCCCTTATTCATCACGAGACAAGAAGGACAAGCCTATCCCTGTTCAGGAAGGTAGTGAAAGAGTTAAAGGCGGGGCATGGCAAGTGTGGACACTACTTCGACTTCTTCCCCTGATTATCTTGGAGCATGTACTTGATCCTACAGATAGGTATTGGAAAGCACTGTTATTATTGCTAGAAATAGTGGAAATTGTGTGTGCTCCACAAATTCACAAGTCTCATTTGCCGTACCTACAGTTTTCTATTGATGAATACTTGACATTAAGAAGAGAACTGTTCCCAAATGTTGTCCTTCGACCTAAGCATCACTATCTTACCTACTATCCAGAGCTTATTTTAAAGTTTGGGCCTCTAATTAAATGTTGGACCATGAGATTTGAAAGTAAACATACTTTCTTTAAAAGAATTGCCCGGATGATAAGAAATTTCAAAAATATTTTGTTTTCTTTCAGTCTCAAGCATGAGCTACTTCAGTGTTATCTTAGAACTGGTGCCGATACTGTGTTACCTTTGGAAGTTTTCAAAGCTTCTGATTTTATTCCTTCTCACTACTCCCGTCTTATTGTAAATATTGTTATGAAATCAATGAAGTCCCTCTCTAATGTGCAGCTTTGTCAGTCTGCTAAGTTCAAAGGCACCAGTTATGCCAATGGAGATATTGTCATTTTAAGTCAAGAGAGCTATCAGTGTGACTTGTCTTTTGGACGAATAATTTTTATCTTATTTGATTGCATTGAATCAGTTTTTTTTGTCTGTGAAAAGCTAGAGACCCTGTTTGACATTAGTCAAAGGCTTTACAGACTTGGCAGTGTAGAAGGATATGTGTGTGTGAAGCCAGAATCTCTGCTCAGTTACTATCCCCATCATGCCTATGAAATCAACAGTCAACAATATGTAAAGCTGAAACATGCAATTGTTTGCACACCAGAGTAATATTTTATAACAATGACAATAAAATGCTTCACTAAAACTGCTCAAACGGTCTAGATCGCTCTTTTATCCTAATCAAACTAAACTCAGTTACAATAATACTGTATTAAAAATAAGAAGTTCTATAATAAAGTACTGAATGAAAAGTGAGTCTAAAAACATTTAAAATCTTCGCACATCAACTGAAATAAGAGACTGAGGCACATTATAGATACTCGGGTAGATTCTCAAATGTTAATGGAGCCAACTACTTCGTAAGCCTTCACTTTACTGATATTGAAAAATCTTTCATCACTATATATGTTTCTTTTATCAAAAACTAAATCAGAAGCAAGAGCCAATGATAATGAGTATCTCACTCGGATTGGTCGAATAAATAGAAATTGTAGGAACAACAAGAGATTGTCAGAAGCAAAAACATACTGCTTTTCAATAAAAGAATATTTTATTCGTAAACATGATGTACATGGCTTGATAGAGGTTCTAGATAATACTGCATTAAAACAATTAAGATAATTTACAGACTAGACAAAACTGATAATCACAAGATAATACTGCATTAAAACGATAATAAATTTACAGACTAGACAGAACTGATGATCACAAGATAATACTGCATTAAAACAATTTGGGTAATTTATAGACAAGACAAAACTTACAATCACAAGATAATACTGCATTGAAACTGATGGTCATGACTGAAACATTTGAAATCTTCATACACTCACTGAAATAGAACAGACCAAATGATGAGTAAGAAGGATATACTATGGGTACTTTGAAATCAGTAGCATTTTCGACTTACAATCCATGTCTTGAGTCTCTGCGTACTCCAATTCAGCAGTGTCTTCTACCCCATCTATCCGACCAATCCGAGCAAGATACTCATTAGCTTTGGCTCTTGCTTCTGATTTGGTTTCTGGTAAAAGACACAAATCAAGTGATGAGAAAAAACCAACATACAGATGATTGCACAGGCAAGCAGGTTAAACTACCTCCAGTTCCTAGGACGGCTGCTAGTTCATATGGGCATGTTGGACTTCTTCTGATTTGAACTAAATCACCACCAATGTATTGCTTAGGCACATTGTAAACAGTAAACTTCTCCAGATCTCGGATATAGCATCCACACAGAACATACGCCATTGCCGTGCACAAAAACACTGAAAGATAATGAATGTTGTGAAGAAACAAGAAACGATTGTAAGATACACGAAGTTAAACGTTATACCCAGACCAGCCTAAGGTCGCGACTGAAAACGCACAGGCAGCATAGGGATTCCAACGGCGCCCATTCGCGACCTTAGTCGGTCGGACTGTAAATGAAGTGAAACTAAACCTTGTAACTAATGCGGCATTCCTTTCAAGACTAAACCTCATGAGATTTTTGTAACGCAGCAGACGAAATCCGAGCTGGACAAGTGAAGTAGTGCCAGCTGCTACCGATCCAGAGGTATAATTTTATCACAATTTTAAATCGGTGGAACACCTTTATCTTCTATTGCTGATTATAATATTCGATATTAATGTACGAAATCAACATCAAACAAGAAACAGTAGAAAAAGAGACTAACTTGTGTGCACTCTTTCGTGGTGGTATGTGGGTATGATCAAATGTTACGTCACTGCCAGTTAACAAACAACAGGTGTTCGTGCTCTCTCTCTCTCTTGGCGGTGTTCAGCTGATTTATCAGCCTATTTAATGAGATGACCAAATTGAATTTAATAATTAGTTCGTGGGTGTTTGACAGTGGTGGTTGACACCTGCCTTACTTCGTTCAGTAGTTCAGTTCCATTCTTTTCATCAGAACGGTGAGTACGTAGAATTAGAGCCGACTTCCACATTGCCTTTGTGTTCCGTCAACTTTAAGGTTATCGCGATTTCCCCTCTTATTACTTCTTTCATATACTAACTGATCTTAAGTGGACTACCAGTACTCTAGTTGCATGCTTCATTCGATTTACTGAGTGAAATGCTGTCGCGTGGAGCTTTAATTGGATCGTTTTGACCATAACCTAACCTATACACACTGCATCTCAGGCAGCAGTGACGAAACTTTATCTCTTTCCGTTGCCGTTTAGCTTTTTAGTATGAATCCTGTCGTCTTATTATATCAAGAGTTGTGAGTTGAAGCTCAAGTGCCTGCTTTAGTTAACCTGTGCAATAATTGCACATTTGTGTTTTACTTGTGGCGCTGTGTATGGCAGTGTACCATAACCCCTAACTTTGGCCTATTATGTATTTCATTAGAACTCCTAGCGACCATATTGATCCTTTCCACTCTCATTGAGTGTTAACCATCATTGTTTCTCTCTGTTCTTTGATATTCTATTCAATTGACTTATCTCAACTCTCTCCTTTCCAGGCTGACATGGATAAGGTCATCGTCAGAGGTTTCTCCATGGATCGGAAGGTGAAGATTTTTATTAAAGTGGCATCTGTTGAAGAGGTTATCCATGAAATAACTACTAGACTGAAGTTGGACCGAACTGTTGACTATCAGGTAAGATGTTAGTGTGAATTTATACCTAAAGGTTGTTTACCATTGTCCCTAATCAAAATGTTTTTCCAGGTTGTTCAGGAAAGCGATGGTACAATTATTGATGAAGATGACATCTTACTTAACCTTTGTTCGGAAGCGAAAAGGGAAAACAGTACTTTTGGAGTCATGCTTTTACCAGCTGGGCGGTCCTGGTCAACAAGTTCTTCTGGTACCGATTTACATCGTGAGCCCTCTACCTCTTCCCTCTCCTCCACGGAAAGTTTATCTGGTGAGTCATTTTCTCTCTGTGGGTGTTTCTCGCTTGCTACTTTTTTTTTGGTACGATGTTAGATGTTGGCTAGGATGTGAATACATTTCTCCTTATACATCTCAGCCGGCCTCTAACTCATCTCATTTCTCAAACTTCCTTACAAATAGTGAGTAGAAAACTTAATTGCTTTTTATTAATTTGCGTTTTTACATTTGCAGATAAAGACACTGGTTCTGAGACATCTGACTCTGTGTTTGATTATGCTACACCAAGTAGATCCAGAAGCATCTGCTTCCCCATGAGTGAAGTAACAGACTTCTTGGATCCTCTTGCTGAAAAGCTTAGTGAGGGGCACCTTCCTAAGAACTTCTACACTTTGAAGAAGAGAGCAGTGAAGGAAGCCTTTCATGCTGCAGGCAAGCATATGCTGAAGATTAAGGATTTCAAAAAGGCAACTGCATTGAAGCTTGCTGAATTTATCATTAACTACAATGATAAATACAAGAGAATATTTGAAATTCAAGTTGGATCATCAGTTGCTGATCCAGGCTATAAGTACTTCTGTCAGAAGATTTATGCCTATGTATGTGCCAACAAGGGTGAAGAAAACACTAACAAGCGAGGAACACCCAGAAGAACACGAGAGAACTTGGAAAGTGAATGTGAGGAAGATGGCTTGGTGCCACCACCTCCATCAAAACAAGATTTGTATGGGTGTGTTGCTTTCTCTGTCCCCCTTCCGGACGGTGAGACTGAAGATAGCCAAGAGTTGAAGAGAGAACGCTTGCTGGCACTCGATGAGGATGATGAAGTCCTTGTTCTTATGTCAGCAACTTACCCGTCCCAACGTATGGACATTAATTCTGCAAAGCCTCTCAACACCCGTCTGGAAGGAGTAATGAGTAAGTGGCCACATCTCAGCAAAGAGGAGCCATTTCTTTGCCACTCAAAGACGCTACTTGGCAAAGATGTCAAGCGTGTTTGGGACAAAAATGTTGGGGAGAAAGCCCCTCACCTGTTCCAATTCATGGAAAGGTACTTTGAAGGTGAAGCAACCAAAAAGGATCCCTCCCCCCAAACCAATGAAATGCTAGTCCTTGTCCGTAAAGCCAAGGACTTGGACTTGGGGAGGAGGGATTCGGTTGCTTCAACTTCTGCTGTGTTGCCACTAATTATCGGATACATGAATGAGGCGCAGAGTGCCCTGCATGTTGTTGTCCCGGTAAGTTTTTGAACATCTTAGCTTCTGATAACCCTTTTTAATACATTTTTCTATTGATGTTTAATCCATTATTTTTATACCTACAGGAGTTAGCAACTGATGATGATATTTTTGAGGCAGCTACTAGTGCAAAGGGGTTCCCCCTTCTTGTTGTCAGAGGTAAGCATAATAAATTAATTATTTTTTCTGTTTGTTTGTTTGTTTGTCCTCTTAACATGCATTATGTTTCTAGGCTCATCATTATTGGACTACACTTCAGCCTCAGTCATTCTTCCTGGCAAAACCAAAATAGATGTGGCAGATATAGTGACTGGATTCTTAGTGACACTTCTGGCTTATTTTACATTCCTTACTGTCTACAATCCTGCTGCCCACAGCTCTCTTGAGTTTTATCAAAGGTTTGTTAAACAACATATATGTATCTACTTTTTATTACTGTTTATTTTGCAAGGATTTTTGCAGTAACATATGAACTTTTTCCAGATTCTTCCTTGAGGTGAACCCACCAGTTGGAACCAAGAGAGCTGTGAGGAAGAAGACTGTTGACGCAGTTGACTCAAAGGTCCGAGCTCTGTCAGAAAAATTAATGTCTGACAGCTCTCCATGGAGTTTGTAGATCTACTTAGTGTTATTTTTTATTTACTGTTCTGCAGTTGACTTTCTGTTCTGCAATAAATCATTTGTAGAAACTAAATTTTCAATTAATTCAAAGCCTTTGACGCATGTCATGTCCTACAAATCATATCAGAAAAAGGAAACAGGAATTCGAGACAATGATTTCTGGATACAGTTTTATATTTTATTGATAATTTACTATAC